ATTAAGTCATAGCAATTAATAGAATCAATGTGTAAAGTATTTGATTCTATATAACTCTTATCTTTTTTAGATTGCGATACAATTTTATCATATCATAAAGTTATCAATTCTTTACGTTTTTAACCAGGTGAAAGAGACTTTTTTTCACAATAAAAAATTATAATTTTTGAATTATCATGTTATATATTTGTTATATATTTGTATGTGTATTATGTATTATGTATTACATATATTATATATAAAATAAATGTTATTAAATTTAGGTAAACTTTCTCTAATCTTATGATTAAAAATTTCTAATACAATATTTATAGTTATCTCATAAAAAACTTTTGAAAATAATATAATTAGAAATTAATCGTAAAAAGAAAATGCTCTCTTAATTTAATATAAAAATTTATTATATAAAATAATATAATTAATTATATAAACATTTTTGCTAATTATCAATATAATCGCATGCAATGTTTCTATTCATATTAAATATTATTTTTAAATTTCGATAAATTGCACACAACGAAAAAAACTTTTGATTTCAGAACTGATATTAGAACAAGATCACCATGTTAGATATTGTCATCAATCTTGACTACTTGAAAAGTTGGAATGGAATTTTTAAAATCTTACAATTAGTATGTATATTATTATTTCAGTCATTCACACATTTGCATTTATTATAATTTTTTTTAATATTATAATTATCTAATATTTTTTATCTTTAATTATTCAATTTTTTATTTTTTAACAGGTAGTAGGCACAATTTGCATAGGAATAATTGGTCACGAGTTTAACAGCATCAATGTATCAAATGCATTGTATCAAACTGCACTAAACTTTTATCTTATTGTAACATGTACTTTCTTTATTGGTACTTTTATTCTTGTTATCAGTTATCTGATGTCTCCTTCTGCTGCATCTATTGTACCTAAAACAGTTTATGTAAGTAATTTTAAAAATTTACATACACTTTACATACAATTTATTTAATCTATTTATCTGGTTTATCTATTTTATTTGATTTATAAAATAATTGTTTTAAATATTAAAATTTTTTTTAAATATTAAAATTTTAAATAACATTCGAAACATCAAATGTTAAGAAAAATTATATTTATTAGTACGATTTATTTCTAAAGTTATGTTAATCAGAAGATTTTTCTTTAAATTTTCAGGAATTTATTTATCAATCTATCGCATCTTTATTATTACTTGTGGCTTCGATAACATTAATGGTAAAAATAAATCAAGCTAATGAGATTGCATCATATAAGCAGTTATTAGTGGCTTCTGTAAGTAGAATATTATATTTATAAAAAAATTAAATTCTTAATTATAAAACTAATAATTGAAACTATACACAACTACACATACATTCACGCAGTACGCAGTATGGGCGCGCACGCGTGCCCATACGTGTATATATACATATGTATATATATATGTATGTGTATATATATATATATATATATATATGCTAGAAATCTTATAATATTGTACACGTGAATATGTTAATAACACACACACACACACACACACACACACACACACACACACACACACAC